GTGAAAACCATGTTTGACACTGCCAGTGCCTGAATGAAAGGAGCAATTAGTGAAGCAGTACCCAAATTTGGTGTCTGATTTCGGTAGGTAGACCTGGTTGTTAAAGGAGATTAACAGTTTAGATAAATACCTTTTTATTACAATTGTCCTTATCATGCAGTGACACACCCCTCAGCCACTTTTTGTAACTGGTAGACTGCACTTTTATAGTGCTCAGTGGATTCCCTTTGACCCTTTAGATGCAGTGTTTCTTACAGAGTGCCATTGCATTGTACATTACATTGCACTACCAGATGTTACCAGAAATTGGAGATACATGTGAGATATGGAATTTCACCTGCAGTAGGTTCTACTTTTAGTACAAACTAAGGCTTATGCTAAACATGCATCTTTGAGGAGTTCCTGCTGAAAATGGTAGAAACCGCTAACAGTATTGATTGATCACTGCAAATTGTTCCCTATGATGTAAGTTACACAAGTACACCTGTAGTAGTGATTGATCCTACGTGATCACATTATGCTCCATCTTTGTGAAATTATTACTACTGCATGCTACTTGTGTAAGGGTTCAATGATTAGCCATAAGTCTCTACTTTTTAGAGATTAATGGCTAGTAGTTTTAGTAATGCAGTTCAGTTACTACAAACGGCCTGTGTATCATAAGCCTAAGGAGCTGTTTGAGAATCAGCATGGCACTGCATCCTTCCACTCCAGACGTAACAAGCAGATGGGTGAATTCCAGGTAAAACAGAGGTAATTATAACTAAAAGCTGATCCTGTCCTGCCTATGTAGTAAGTTGACATGATTCCTCTCTGGCCTAGGTGACGATAATCAGATTTTACCTGCAGTGATGTTGGGCCTTGTCACAGCTTGCTGATACAATGACATTGAAAACAAACCTGTACCCAGACAAGTAATCAGTTCACTGCAGAGGAAGCACCATATGCTGCCTGGATTTGCCTTACCTGCACCCCTGCTGCTAGCTCTGTTAGAAATACGTCTGTATAATGTGTGGCAGAGGGTCTGTTGAGAATAGCCAGAGCAGAATCAGATGCTAGCAGTAAGTTTCAGGCACTGGGAAGTCTGGGCAACTGAGAATTGCAGTCCATCCATATGTCCAGGAAACAAATATTATGGAAATGTTTTTATTTCAGATGTATTTTAAAAATTTCTTTTTCACCTAATAAATATAATTTTGAAACCATCTGTACCATTTACTGTGTAGTAAATATATATTTCTGAATCGACACTTAAAAATGGCGCCCTGTCTACTACTTGTGTGCACACCAGGCATGCTCACATTTCCTGTGATCGTGATGTCAATAGACAACACAGATCACAGATAAAAAGCAGATAGTCAATCGGTGTGGTTGTGTTTCTTGTGATGGCAAGTAAAGGATGGACACCGGCACTCCAAAGCAAGTTCAGTACGTGTTTATTAACGTACTAGTTGCAAATAGAACACTCTAAGCAACGTTTCTGGGTCTCACAGGATCCCCTTCATCAGGAAAACAAGTGATCACTACAAGTAGTAGTACGTGTACCCATCGCACTCAGAGCTGCTGTTCCAAAAATGGAGGGTGGGTGCAGCAGGTGTCAGCGGGTGGCTTCCGACGAAATATCAGTAAATGATGGCCACCCGCACTCCAAATCAAGTTCAGTACATGTTTATTAACGTACTAGTTGCGAATAGAACACTCTAAACAACGTTTTGGGGGTCTCACAGGATCCCCTTCATCAGGCAAACAAGTGATCACTTGTTTTGATCTTTGGGACAGGAAGTGAAGGGAGATTTCCCATCCAAACAATACAGAAAGGAAAAAACTGATGAGGATTTAGGGCTTGTTCACACCATGTCTAGAACAGTTTGTTCCCGGACCAAAAAAAGCATCCCAATGTAGCCCTTTGGTATTTCTGGGCTTTGTTCACACCAGCACAGACTGTTCCGGTCCAGACAAAAAATAAATAAAGCTGGTCTCATTTTCTCTGGTCTAAAATGCACTAGAACACATAGAAATGCATACAAAATTCATACAAATGCCCTGGACTGCACCTTCAGCTAAAAAAAAAAGGCAGCAAAAACACACTGGTCTGGACATGGTGTGAACATAGCCTAAAAACATTCCATACTCTCATCAAAACTGAAGTTTTTGGTAGTTTGGACTTTACTTGTTCAAGCCATCGTTCAAGGAGAAAAATTGTCTGGCATGGGACTCAATCTGCTGTAAGAGCGCCTCAGTGGACAGCATACCGTCATTCACACACCATAGATACCGCATTGGTCTAGCCGCTTCCAAGCGAAACCGTACTGCATTAGGTCTGACCAAGGCACTGACTTGATGCGTGCGGAAATGAAGGCAGGGAGATTGAGTTGTAGCGTGAACACATGATCTATCCTGCAAAATGATTGGTGGGGGTTGGAAAAGAATGTATAATCTTTGGATGTTGGGTTTAATTCCTTCCATACGTCTACCAGGGAGTGGTCATTCAGTAAGGCGAGGAAGTTGGAGTTCTGCAGTGGTAATGGCGAGGGAGTAGCGGCTGTGGCAGATTTGGTTTTGTCAGTAACTGGATAGAGGACTAGGTTAGTATCCCCAGCTAAGACAAGGATACCTTTGCTATGATGGGCGACAACTTTTAACAAATGGGAGAGAAATCTAAGTTGGTGAGTATTAGGGCAATAATAGGAGACTATCGTTATGTCAACATCCTATAGCGTAGCTATCAGTAGTACATACCGTCCAGTAGGGTCTGAAATTTGCCTATCACACACGAAAGGAAGGTCTTTCCTGAGTGCAATCAATACGCCTCTCTTTTTTTCGGAGAAGTTGGCGCAATAGAATGTGGGAAATCTTTTATGTAGATATTTCCTTGGAAGCAAAGGTCCCTCTTGTTTCTTGTAGCCTGCAGTACAGCTTCTTTTGTGCGGTAAAAGGTAAATTTCACAATTATGTCCCTTGGAGGGCCATCCGGCCGTTTAGGGGTGAGCGCTCTGTGGATACGGTCAAACTCCAGGCGATCAATTGGAGTAGATGGGATAAGCTCCTGCAGTAATGCAGTAATTGTGGATTGTAAATCTATCACTGATTCTGGTAGCCCACGGAAACGGAGATTGCCGCGGCGGGCCCTGTTCTCCATGTCTTCCACCTTATCCATAATGGCTATCAGGTCAGTATTGACTGAGTCCAGATCCTGCTCATGAGATTCAACCACAGATAAGACATCATCCATCTTTTTCTCCAATAGGTCTGTACGCACCCCTATTTCTCTGATCTCTTTAGTCAGGGTTTCAGTAAGTGTGTTAGAGGTTGCTGTCAGCTCCTTATGCAGCATGGCGTGGATCTTTTGTAGGAGGCTTGCGTCTCTAGAATCATCCAGGTCATCCCCCTGTGTCATGGGGAGACTGTCCAGGGACGAGGAGTCCTGTGTATCTGGAAGCAGGAGCGAGGAAGCTGAGTGCTCTGGTGTGCCTCGTGTGGCCGCCATCTTGGGCTGTCCGCGTCTCATCATCTGAAGCCGTCGAGCGTCTTTCTGCCGCTTGCTCTGCCTCCTCATACCCCCCACGCAAGGTACCTGGTGTCAGGGTTGAAGGGCCACTATTCCGGTGCCGTTCAGGGTGCTTATGTTCGCTATGGATAGCTCTCTAGGGATTGGGTGATGCGGAGCTCCGTCAGACTGCGGCCATCTTCCTCGGCAGCTCGCCACGCCCCCCCAGGCACACAGTTTTAATAAGAACTTTAGTACATTACAAAATAAAGGTTTATACACAAGGAAAAATACAAAATAAAATGTTTATTCACAAATAAAAGCTACCAAAATTGAGAATACAAAATCAAGTTTGTACAAGTATAAAGCATTCCTCCCCCCCCCGACCGGTAGAAGCAATTGTTTTAACTAGAAGTGTCATTATATTTTTAGATAGCATAGTATGCACAGGTCATTCATTTGATCTTCAACACCAAGGGCTCTTTAATACCATAACACGTGTGGTAATGTGCGTTATGGTAATGCATTTTATATGTGGGGTGTAAACAATCTTAACTTTATCCCGACATAAGTGAACATTCTGTGTGTAACTTGAAAATAGAGCCTGTCAGATTTTGTGCATTAAGGTGTTTATAGCCCAAATGTTGTGAAAGCGTCCTAATAGAAAAGTGACATGATAAGCAAATGCTTCTTTCAAGAGTGTCAGTATTTGCTAAAAGTTGAGGGAAAAAAAAAGCCAAATGAGGTAGTAATTCAATAGTCCTGCAGTTACCCTCTGCCCCCAAGTACTATAGCATTAAAAAAAACACAACTTCTAAACTCTGCATAGGTTTTTCTACAGTATCCCATCAAGCCTGAAATGCAGTGACAGGAGACTGAACCTAACAATCAAAATTCCCTTTAATAGCCATGCAAGTTATTGGCACATAGGTATGGCTCATACAAAAGATCAGTCAGACTAAGCATCATAGCAAATTACCCAAATCCGATGAAATAACTAGAAATGTAGTGCATGAAATAAATACAATAAATAAACACTGTCAGAAGAGTGCAAGAGTAGTCTGGTTCAATGCAGAAGTACAGAGTCGCAGCTGCTGTGTACTAGAGCCTAGGCAGGAGTGCTGGTACTGTTCTAAGATTTCAGTTTTCTTTACAACGACATGCAGCCCAGATCTTCTCCCTGTGACCAGGTTCTAGGCAGAAGCTAATGGCAGCCTCAGTCTCAGCAATACGTTTCTGGAAGCGGCTTCGATCTCGTGCATACTCTTCCCACGGTCCTTTGCGAGCCATTCGGTAATGGTAGCTCCATGTAACCATATGATGTACAGTGACATTGGTGTCTCACAGGATCCCCTTCATCAGGCAAACAAGTGGCCACTTGTTTGCCTGATGAAGGGGATCCTGTGAGACCCCCAAAACGTTGTTTAGAGTGTTCTATTCGCAACTAGTACGTTAATAAACACGTACTGAACTTGTCTAGAGCCTAGGCAGGAGTGCTGGTACTGTTCTAAGATTTCAGTTTTCTTTACAACGACATGCAGCCCAGATCTTCTCCCTGTGACCAGGTTCTAGGCAGAAGCTAATGGCAGCCTCAGTCTCAGCAATACGTTTCTGGAAGCGGCTTCGATCTCGTGCATACTCTTCCCACGGTCCTTTGCGAGCCATTCGGTAATGGTAGCTCCATGTAACCATATGATGTACAGTGACATTGGTGTCTCACAGGATCCCCTTCATCAGGCAAACAAGTGGCCACTTGTTTGCCTGATGAAGGGGATCCTGTGAGACCCCCAAAACGTTGTTTAGAGTGTTCTATTCGCAACTAGTACGTTAATAAACACGTACTGAACTTGCTTTGGAGTGCCGGTGTCCATCCTTTACTGATATTTTGTCGCAAGCCACCTGCTGCACCCACCCTCCATTTTTGGAACAGCAGCTCTGAGTGCGATGGGTACACTGACTGTATCTTGTGATGGCCAATCGCATTTGAAAGACCTCCCATTCCTCTCTCACAACAGAGGAAGGGGAGGGAGGAGGATTTTATCAATGAAGGATTTAATGAATGAAGGGTAGCTAGCAGCAGATTTAATTAGAATGTGGGATTGTTTTTTAACTTTTCACTCTAGAGCTAGTGCATCATTACCAAGCTCCACCTCAATACCAGCATGTTTCTTTATTTAAAAATGTGGGCGAAACATAAAACCCCCAGGTGGTGTCTACTTTCCAAAAATTGGTAATTTTCGGGGTGTTTGTACTGTTTGCTATAAAACATATTACATAATGTGTGGAGTAAGGGAAACAAGTTTTTTTTTCCAAAATGTTTGGTCTTTTTTCCTTTAATATAGTAAAAAATAAAGAAAACAGTGGTTTTTAAATACCAAAAGACAGCTCAGTCTACCATGACAGCAGGGTTCCCACCCTACCATGTATTCTGTTTTTCATACTTAGGTTTTGTTATACTGAGTAGGATGTAAGAGAAACTGCTTTTTCACCTGACAATGTGTTTCCTGTCGGGGTGGAAGGAGCCTCTTATACTGTCCTCGAACACTACGGGGAAGTAGACTTACTGAAAAGTCTGTTTTTTTTGGGGGGGGTTAAATGTACAGCCATAAATATATTGATGCTTCATAATTATACAGTAGCTGCATGAGTGTGATGCTGTACCTTTGACTTTAAACTTGTTTTTAAAACCTGGGTTTAGACACTCTTTAACTATGAACTCCAGCCCCCCCCAAAAAAAGAAAAATCAAAAGCCCATTAAAAGATTTTAAACAGTAGTTGAACTATTCACTTTTAACCTGGAGCTCTCATCTGCAGTGCCATAACATGCCCTTATAACAAGTCTAAGGTTCAGCATTATTCAACCCACTTCCTGTTTTTAGCTTAGAAGTGGTGACTGTTAGTTTTCCTCCTCCCCCCAACCTTTGGTTTAGAGTGGCAACACTCCCTCACTATATCTATGGAGGAAGCTATGATTGCTACCCATGCTGGATAGCGGTCCAAACACCACCCCCAACGGTCTGAGATATGTAATGAGTAGAGTTCATATTCCCTGCTGATTGCATTAACTCTCACTCTGAACTCAGTGGAGGGCAAGTTATACAACTGTTTATGCAGATAAGCATGGTCCTTCGCTGCTGACTGTGGAAAAGTCTTTTGGACTAGCATTGGGGCTGTTTTGGGGAATATTCCAGCAAAACATTTAAATACTGTAGTTTTTATATAACTTCAGTTCAAATCAATGTTTTGCTAAATCTTCAAATGGGCTTAAAAAAAAAAGTCTCCGACATCACATAGGGTTTCATTTAAGTCCTTTGTAACACACTATAGCCTGAATATAACAGCCAGGTAGCATTTTCGGGAGTCAATTTCCATTTAAAGCCCTTCTGCAGGCAAAAACTCTACCTGTCCATACCCATTAGCTTTTTTAAAAACCCTATATGTACTTGCTGGAGTCCACTGTCATGTGATCCTCTGTAGCACCTCTCCTGGAGACTTGGCCCACCAACCGATGCTGCTACTTGGGGCATTGCTGGAAGGATTCCGGACCCTCTGAGAACTCTGTCGATTGATATCTTTGTTGGCCAATGGGAAGCATCTAGGTCACCAGTAAGCAATGTCGGCACTAGGTAAGGGTGTATCTAATGCTGAAAAATGTTTTTGCAGAGTAGGAAGGGTAAGAATCATTAGTAACAAAAAAAAAAGAGATAGGGGTTTCTGAGAGGTATTACACCACAGCTTCAAATTTTTGTATAAAATTAATTTTTATTATACATGTACCATAACATATATATATATATACACACACAAAAGGACAAACAATAGTTAATTGAAATAAAAGTCCTAAAATAGATTCATTCTATCAGGAGCATATACCCATAAAGCATTCTGTACATAACAGTTATAGAGCAAGTAAATATTTGTTTTACGATCAGTGCGTTCAATTCCTACGCGTTTCGCAGCTTTGCTTCATCAGGGGATTATAAACTGATCTATTAAAAAACTGTGTGTTCAATCAGTACATGTCAACAGTATATTGCATATATCAATTACATAGCATAGAGAGGTGTTTCGGCAGCCAGATCAAACAGAGGATAAATAAAGATACCTAACTGGCTAAAGGGAGTGAGCTTTTTATTTATTTATAATTTATGGAACATGTCAAAAAGGATGGCGGCACATAGAGGTGTATATATGGACACAGGATTTTGGACTATGGTTTTTGTATCTTATGTACAACACTAAATGAAAACAATCATATGTAAAAACAGGTCTATGGAAGTTGAACCACAACATTACAGATAAGACTATCATTGGCAATCCTGCCCTCTTGCCAAAACCTGAAATCCCTCCTATTGTGGCCCCGAGGTCCCCATATCAGATCTGGGCGGAGTACTAAGATTGGAGGAATCTGTTCTCCATCCACACTCCGGACAGGGAACTCCACCCGTATCCAGCTACTCCCAGTTGGTGGTGAGTGCCGGGTGTGTGACAGTGGTGGTGGGTTTTCCCTGTTTGATCTGGCTGCCGAAACACATCTCTCTATACACTCTATGCTATTGATATATGCAATATACTGTTGACATGTACTGATTGAACAAATTTTTTTAATAGATCAGTGTATAATCCCCTGATGAAGCAAAGCTGCGAAACACTTAGGGATTGAACACACTGATCTAAAAACGAATATTTACTTGATCTATAACTGTTATGTACAGGATGTTTTATGGGTATATGCTCCTGATCCAATGAATCTTTTGTAGGACTTTTTTCAATTAACTATTGTTTGTCCTTTTGTGTATGTATGTAATGTATAATATAATTAATTTTATACAAAAATTTAAAGCTGTGGTGTAACACCTCTCAGACACCCCTCTTTTTTTTGTTACCAATTTTCATATTGGGGGAGAGGTCACACCGGGTGGCCCAGTGTGCTAGCCACTCACGACTACGAAGGGTAAGAATTAGTCAGGTTTTAATTTCCTTGTGTGTCCCTGCTGAGATTTGCCTTCATATCAACTAGTAGTCATCACCGCAACAAGAGGTGACTGGAAAAGCCTAACATTCTCAGGTAATATAAGAAAAGCTTTCAAGTAAACAGCTGTCTAAAGGGGGGATTTCCCCTTACCTGGAGTGATTTTACTTAGTCTTTGGGACAGGAAGTGAAGGGAGATTTCCCATCCAAACAATACAGAAAGGAAAAAACTGACAAGGATTTAGGGCTTGTTCACACAATGTCCAGAACAGTTTGTTCCCGGACCAAAAAAAAGCATCCCAATGTAGCCCTTTGGTATTTCTGGGCTTTGTTCACACCAGCACAGACTGTTCCGGTCCAGGCAAAAAAATAAAATAAAGCTGGTCTCATTTTCTCTGGTCTAAAATGCACTACAACACATGGAAATGCATACAAACGCACTTGACTGCACCTGAAAGCCCATTTTAAGCTTAAAAAAGAAAAAGGCAGCAAAAACACACTGGTCTGGACATAGTGTGAACATAGCCTAAAAACATTCCATACTCTCATCAAAACTAAAGTTTTTAAAACAGATTTTGGGTTTCCCTTCAGTTTTTGGTAGTTTGGACTTCTACTACTACTTGAAGTTGGATAAATTCTCAGATTGTTTTATGTCAATATTGAGATGGCGTCAAGAAGCACAGTATCTGGATAAGTTCTTCTTTCACTCCTTACCGTAATTCCCAAGCGATGGGGTGTTTGTAATGATTGCTGGTGGATGCAGAGGATGATTGTGCAGAATGTCACCAGCACACCAAAGAGCCTTTTAGAATCACCAAATGCTCATTTTATTGAACAAATTGTCAAACTGGAAACAAGAGCTTTCGGGACCTCGCAGCGTCCCTTCATCAGGCGTTAACATCGATGTTGAAGCCTGATGAAGGGACCCTGCGAGGTCCCGAAAGTGTTTACCATTTTTACAATGTGTTCAATAAAACGAGCATTTTGTGATTCTAAAAAAGGATCTTCGGTGTGCTGGCGACATTCTTCCGAACCACAGTATCAGGCACACAGTTTCTAATAAGAACTTTAGTACATTACAAAATAAAGGTTTATACACAAGGAAAAATACAAAATAAAATGTTTATTCACAAATAAAAGCTACCAAAATTGAGAATACAAAATCAAGTTTGTACAAGTATAAAGCATTCCTCCCCCCCCCGACCGGTAGAAGCAATTGTTTTAACTAGAAGTGTCATTATATTTTTAGATAGCATAGTATGCACAGGTCATTCATTTGATCTTCAACACCAAGGGCTCTTTAATACCATAACACGTGTGGTTATGTGCATTATGGTAATGCATTTTATATGTGGGGTGTAACTCAATCTTAACTTTATCCCGACATAAGTGAACATTGTGTGTAACTTGAAAATAGAGCCTGTCAGATTTTGTGCATTAAGGTGTTTATAGCCCAAATGTTGTGAAAGCGTCCTAATAGAAAAGTGACATGATAAGCAAATGCTTCTTTCAAGAGTGTCAGTATTTGCTAAAAGTTGAGAAAAAAAAAAAGCCAAATGAGGTAGTAATTCAATAATCCTGCAGTTACCCACTGCCCCCAAGTACTATAGCATTAAAAAAACAAAAAAAAAAAACACAACTTCTAAACTCTGCATAGGTTTTTCTGCAGTATCCCATCAAGCCTGAAATGCAGTGACTGGAGACTGAACCTAACAATCAAAATTCCCTTTAATAGCCATGCAAGTTATTGGCACATAGGTATGGCTCATACAAAAGATCAGTCAGACTAAGCATCATAGCAAATTACCCAAATCCGATGAAATAACTAGAAATGTAGTGCATGAAATAAATACAATAAATAAACACTGTCAGAAGAGTGCAAGAGTAGTCTGGTTCAATGCAGAAGTACAGAGTCGCAGCTGCTGTGTACTAGAGCCTAGGCAGGAGTGCTGGTACTGTTCTAAGATTTCAGTTTTCTTTACAACGACATGCAGCCCAGATCTTCTCCCTGTGACCAGGTTCTAGGCAGAAGCTAATGGCAGCCTCAGTCTCAGCAATACGTTTCTGGAAGCGGCTTCGATCTCGTGCATACTCTTCCCACGGTCCTTTGCGAGCCATTCGGTAATGGTAGCTCCATGTAACCATACGATGTACAGTGACATTGGATGAGAAACGCACCTGGAAGAAATTGTAAAATGCATTATTCTAATGATCAAATGCAGTCCAGCGTATATATAGTGCAGTCTATCTACAGTTTCTACTGCAACATGGTGACCAAAAGCAAGATGTACTTGGGAATTAAGCAGAGAGGTGCCCATCACATTACTGTTTCTGTGATATCAGTTCAGTAAAATGGAATCAAAGTTGTTGCTCCTAGCATCTACATTTCCAATAATATACAAATGTCAGCTTTCAGTGTTAAGGTGCCCATCGTACGATTATCGCAAGGTGTGTGGAAGGCGTGCGACCTCTGCTACTGTAAGTAGATGAAAGTAGTCACTCGCACTCCATGATATTAAAGTCAATGCTGTTTATTGACTGAGAACACACATCTCCTTTACTAAGTAGATGTGTGTTATCTCAGTCAATAAACAGCATTGACTTTAATATCATGGAGTGCGAGTGACTACTTTCATCTATCTTCATTTCACGGAGGCATCTGTTGTCACCATCGCACCCACCCAGTTGGATTTGGGTTTTTGTCCGGTCAGGAGTGCGATGGGACAGGAGGATTAAGTCTCTGCTACTGTAAGGTCGCACGACTTTTATGTTATGAACATGTTCGAAAACTTGCCGAGAATCGTACAATCGTCGGCGGGTGTGTGGCATGTTCGCAAGATAAATGCAGCACGGGCCGGTGTACGCAAGCGCACACTGCCCGTTTACCATTGCGGTCATCGGAAGCCCGCCCCTCAGCAGGGGGGGGGGGTTTGCGATCATCGAGAGTACCATCTGCCTGTCCAAGATGGGCAGATCGTATGTTTTTTTTTAATTACCTTACAACCATCGCAAGACAAAAGTCTTGCGATGGTTGTAAGGTGTGTGCCCAGCATTAGAGTATATTTAGACTCATTTAGGATTTCTGGTGGGAGAATTTATACTGCTAAGAATTGTCACTGGTTGCTCACATTGCCTAATGACAAACATCTAATGATGTAAATCTGTAGAAAAGAGGCAAAGCTAGTCTTGCATGAATATCACTTATAAAATCATTGCCAATCAAAAAACATATAGTCTCAAATTAGCAAGGTGGCAATTAAAGGCGGTTCCAGTAACATTACAAAAGGATTGCATGAAGTGATGACACTGGTTGCTATGGCTGAGTCAGGCTTCTCCCAGACTTCCCATTCTCAGTGAGGGTTGTACTCCCACAGATCACCTGACAGTTTCTGACAGTTTCAGAAGGTGGCATCAGCACCCTCAAGAGACCTTATGCAATGGTGTGCAATTTTAGCCTGCTCTAAGAGGAGACGTTTCCAGATGTGTGGTCAAAGGGGAACCTAAGCTATTTTCATGATGGTATTCGGAAATGATCCTCAGATGTGCACGCTTAGGGGCTCAATATAGAACTGTGCAGAGTTTGACCCAAGAGTCAGGGGGATGACCAGCTCTTGCCAAGAATAATGTGGTAAGATAATTAAGTCAGTAGTCTCACACACACTATTAGAAGAGACATCAAGTTGCTTATGTATCAAAGCAATATGATCATCAGATTAGAGCTAAACTCTATAAAAAAGGGAAAAATATAGAATTATGAGGGTTTAGAATCTGGGACCATTATCCTTGTATCTGATTTGATACTTGGCGAGTCACTGACCTAAAACAAGCACACAGCAGCACAGTGTAAGTACGCCTGATATGCCCACTTGTTCTAGGTCACCATCAAAATACTGAAGCAAGGACATTAAGTGTGACCGACCTAAACACAAACTGGCAATTACAGCTCACATTTTATTCTAACATGATACTTTAAAACAACTTTGTTTTTTTTCAACAATGCAATACATTAATAGTAGAGATGAAGAAAATCTCCATTAAACACAAAACTAGCCTGGATTTCATTTAAACTGGTAAAAAATGGCAACATCGCCCACAGCATCACTTAAAGTATTAAATATAGCTAGTTATTGTAGCCTAATAACTTGACTGATTGGAACCAGTGTGATTTGGATGTATGAACTATACAAAACCAATACCCTTATGTTATCATTTATCCAAGACAAAGACTAATTGGTCAAACATACCCAGCACCATATTAATCCTAGATCTGCATATTTACCTTCTTAACCCCTGGGTTTCCAGTTTGCTTTAATTCTTCTAAGAACTGAGGTTCATCCTTCTGGCTGGCACAGTTTTGTGGCTTCTTGGCCTGTGACTGCATAGTACAATGTAAAGTTTCACATTCTCCATCCTCTGCAATGTAAGGACAACATTTTACATTGATCTGAGGCTGCTCAGAACTGGTGGCGAGTACCTCTTTCTTCACCTGTTGGTTAGGGCTTCTTGTGGGCATGGCAAAAGAAAGTGGATTATATGGGTCATCAGTCCGACAGAATGAATCCCACAAGTCATCATCCCTACTGTAGTCTGAATCACTTTCTGCATCCCATGAATCGTCCTCTTCTTCCGACCAGTCACTTTCTTCACTGTTATCCATGTCTTCCTTGGACTTCAGAGTCCATAATTCTTGCATGCCACTGTCCACTGAGGTATCTTCATGGGAAGAATCATGTTCAGGCTCTTCATCTCCACACTCAGACTCGCTGAGACTGGACTCTTCGCATGGAGGTGAGTGATCGTCAGATTCGCCATCAGATTCAAACTCACTAAGATCAGACTCTTCGGATGGGAGCGAAGACTCCCCATCCTCTGATGGTACACAGATCATTGACAAAATAAAGGGGTTTGTACAGGATGGTAGAAGTGTCTCTTTGCTCACCATGATATCCATGTCAGGGAACACTTTGTGGTCAAAAACCTCTTCCATGTAAGCATTGTCCTGAAGATCCTCCATTCTAGGACTGGGCAGCTCCTTTTCTGGAACCATATTCTGTTTGCTTAGCTCCGTTTCACAGCCCCAGCAACACTTTATAGAGATGGTGTTCATAGACTGTTCTGTATGATAAGGTGTTGAATGTTTTGGCACGTTCTTGTAAACAAACACGTTCCTCAATTCCACAGCTAAGAAAAAGTCTATGATATTCCAGCACATCCACAGCACAGCTTGGAAAGCTTTACTCTTCCAACTCAAAGGCCTTCTATGCAGGAGATTTCTGGCCACAGTGAAAATCGACTGTGTAATTCTGGCAGCCATCGTCAACATCACTATGTCTGTTCCCAGCTCACCAGCGATGACCTGCATTTCTGGATGGACTTTCATAAGGTCAACCTGGACAGCAGTTCCTCTATGCCAGTGAGTCATTGGAGACGTAAGATTCCTCCAGTATGAGCCAAAACAGAGGTAGCTGAGACTCATTTTGTTCACCGATGCCCTGTTAGGACACAAAAAAACAAAACTTAGATGGTAATAATGAAAACCAGCTGCAAAGTCTCTGCTTTACCACACCATTTTTTTTTATACACAGAAACTATCCACCCAGGTGATCAGTATGGTTTTTGCCAAGTGTTTGGAATTTATAATACAAGTGTTAGGTCACCAGTGATGGACTAGTAATAAAGCAGCCAAGGCTTACATACATTATTCCATAATAGTAATTCCAATAATACCTAACTGGTTATACAACTATTTACATAACTAGTAAACAAACCACCGCCATAGATTTAACAAACACCAGCTGCTTGGAGGGAATGAGCTGTCATTTGTTCCGGCTTGTTTAGGAGTCTATAGGCACACAAAAAGCTGGATTTTGAAACTAGGGGAAACGTCTAGCAAAACAAGGGCTTGTGTTGTGTCCATGACATCAGTTTGAAACTTGAGATCATTCAGAATTCACTGACAGGCATATATGTAGTGAAAATATTCAAGTCTACAATAAAGAAAATGATTGTTACCAAGTCCCCTTTTCTAGATTAAATGTCACACAGAGAAATAACCTTGTGGGACTCGGATAAAGTGAGTCATATGATACGAAAGAGGCCAATACCACAGAACATTGCAGAATTCTATGGGTGGCTACAGACTTGCAAAGGTAGCTTCTCAACAATGGCACCTGGTGATGTATTAGAGTGAAAGAACTGAACTGGACCCACGTTTAGAAAGATGTCCCAACAAGCAGAACAATCTCCCAGCACAAACAAGTGCCTCCGATACCAAAGGAGCTCAGAGAAGATCACAAACTCACCATTTATCACATGTCCTGCTCACAACCAGGAGCACTGCTGCAATATGTTCTAGAAAATAACCTCAACTGGCTAGAAGACATCCAACTTGTATATGGACAGAACGGAAAAAGCCGGCTAGATTGTGCCTCAAAATAACAGCGTTGCATCACCCCAAAGTCAGTTGTTGCTTCAAACAATCCAACAAATGTTATATTTATAGAGCCTTTAAAATCCACATCTGCTTTGTTAACACTGATACACCAAGGAGGAGTTTTACTAGAAGAGATTACTCATCACATGTAGTGATGAATTCAGAGTCCATTCGGCTTCATCAACCTCCCTCAGCAGGTCTGCCACATGACATCAGAGGAATAGAAGCATTCAGCATCCATGGACTATGGAACACCAATTGCCATATGGTGAGGGAGGGACACCAGCAAGGCAGGAACTTCCACAAATCAGGATTCATGATAAATTCACACAGGAGCCCATTCAAAATGTTCTACCCATCACAGAGACAAGACCAATTCACACACTGACATCATGGCATTCTGGACAGTACAGGTGTACGCAATGATTGTAGCAGACCATGACCTGTGCCTACAAACACCCTGAAATGTTGCCCCCAGACACATTGTACAACCTCCTTTAGTAACCATGTAGTACATGGGCCTCTTCTAAATCACAAGGTGTATGATCAGTGAGACCCAAACTACACTACAAAGATTGTCCTAAAGAATCCCACAACCCTCGCTGGTTGCCAACTATGATTGAAAGGGCAAAACATTTTTCTTTTATATAGTTTTTAGCGGTTTCTGTGTCCCCATCGGGGAGATTCACCCCTCAATTTGTACTGGTGACCACTGACACCAGGAAAGAGGGGAATCCAATGTTTTAAGAGTTGTCCCTAGAACAAGAGGTAAATGGAGAATCTTCCAATGCGGACAACTGCACTCACTGACAGATTTCCTCTAATCTTCCTTCCTGTTGTGTCTCTGGGACAGGAAGTGAAGGGGAATGTCCTTGATGGTACACAGACAGCAAAATAACCAAGTAGGGCTAAAACCTACTCAATCCAAAACTAAATATAGATCTGGCTGTGTATTCACATTAATCATCGCAACTCACCTCTACTGACAACTGTGTCAGTGTCATCACATCCACCACTAAAATACATCCTCACGTGTGTCAGGGACAATGGTCCAGGTCTATGATTACAGGGAATGGTCATGTATGTCCATAGTGTCAATGGTTGTATGATCACAGGGAAAAGTCATGTATGTCCATAGTGTCAATGGTTGTATGATCACAGGGAAAAGTCATGTATGTCCATAGTGTCAATGGTTGTATGATCACAGGGAAAGGTCATGTATGTCCATAGTGTCAATGGTTGTATGATCACAGGGAAAGGTCATGTATGTCCATAGTGTCAATGGTTGTATGATCACAGGGAAAGGTCATGTATGTCCATAGTGATGGCAGATATCTGCTGTGCTGTACAAGAAATGATATATGAGCCGTCACTCTGCTGCCACCTAGTGGATGAGTATCTGCCAGCATGCTGAGTCTTATAGCCCCTCAGCCCCATATGGTTCAATCACATACCTGTCGGGACTTCCAGCAGATGTCAGCCTGTGACAAAGGCGCTCCAGCAGAAGTTAGTGCTACTCTCCTGGGTGGGGGGTTCGTCAATAACGCGGTGATAGCCGAGGTCGGTAACACGAGCTCTCCTAACTTTCCTCTTGTACAGCATACAGAGCATTGGTAAGAACGGCGGTGCCTCTTCTGGTGAAGCGCTATAAGCCATGCCTGGTCATCTGGATACACACAATCTCTTCTTTCTTTATCTGTTGTAAGTGTAAAAAAAAATGGCGCAAACTGGTCTGCCGTCTATATATAGTGTCTGCCGGAAGCCCCACCTTCCATGACGATCAAATAGTGGAAGGGGGAGTGGTTTGTTTCTGGACGGCATGTACGTGACGTTTCCTGGAATAGAACAGGGAGGGGGGGATGGATGTCACATGCTTGAGTATCGTGACGTAATGAGAGTGAAGGTAGAAAGGACAGGAAATGTGTGGAGTTTACGGACTGTACAGGAAGGATGGGAGGAAGGAATGAAAACAGCAATTCGCTGCGCTTGTCATAGATTTGCAGCGGCCCACAAAACAAATTGAGGGGAGTTTAGCACAATCTGGAGCAGCTGTGCATGGCAACCAATCAGCAAAGACTAACTGAACGAACTGAAGAGAGAAGCGGATTGGTTGCCATAGGCAACTTTTACAGATGTTGTCTGCTCCAGTGTTGATAAATTCAACCCATTGTATGTTATTAATAAAGTAATACATAAATAATTGTTCTGTTAAGCTCCTGTTTTGCTTTTCTGTTGTGGTTCGAGCTAATAACGTATTTTTCCTCCTGTCTGCTCAGAGGATCTGCGCAACAGATGTCCGTTATTCATCAAGCTGTCAAACGAGCAGGATGGAGGACCTATTGCGCCGAATCCTCGATCGCTCTGAGCAGCCAGGGGGAGAAGAGTGGCTGTGTAGATGCTTGGAAGCTGCTTTTCAGCCTGTAGAATGTCCATCTGTTTCTCATTCAGTCTCCCAAGTCCCCTCTCATGTCATGGCCCCCCTCCCCTCTCCTGCTCTGTCCTCTGGAGAGTCCTGTGACTATTCAGTGAACCGTGAGAATTTGCAGCTACCTGGCTGATGCATGTTCCATTCACACATGAGCGGTTTTCCGTGTGTATGCGCTAAACATAAAAACAATGCATTACAATGGGCATTGTTCAGACTATAGCAGCGCCCGTGTGGTACGAAAACACGTGTCCCGCAAAATAGTCCAAGCGCAATTATTTGGATGGATTGCGCTATAGTAATAGCAGCATATGCGCAGAATACGCGCGTATGTAAAAAGTTGCACACTTTCGGGAAAAGGCCATATGGGAATGGAGCCTTAGAGAGCAGCTCTGCCTTGCCGCTGAAGAGATCTAGGGAGGTCCACAGAGCTTTCGCCCATCCCCTCCTCGTTCCAGAAAAGCCCTCCGTCGCTCTGCTAATCTCAAAACCAGCAACCTGCTATGCATGTGGAGGCTTTTCCAGCTGTGTGAAGTTGGCACCCCATGTTTGTAAAACCTGAATAAAAATACGTTTGTGCCGCTTTGGTTTGGGAGATATTGCGCATTACAGTTGCTGAAACCCCGCCCACTTTGCACCCCATGTTATTGAATTTTAAAAATAAACAAATGGTATGTTTATTTATAAAATTCAATAACACGGGGTGCAAAGTGGGCGGCGTTTCAGCAACTGTAATGCGCAATATCTTTGAAACTAAAGTGGCACAAATGTACGTTCTTGAGGCACAAATCTGTACAAACAAATGGTATGTTTATTTTTCACATTTGCTAACATTGGGTGCAAAGTGGGCGGGGTTTCAGCAACTATAATGCGCAATATCTTTTAAACCAAAGACTCCTGACTGTCTAGCAGTTATGGGATTAGCCAGCTTGTTCAATAAACACACAAGGGCTGGTGACATGACACTTGCCAGGAAATTAGAAAAGCAGAATATCCTCAGGGCCCGTTCACACCACTCCCTGCGGGTTCAAGCACCGTGAGCTGCTGGAACGCACTGGAGCGCATATTGTAAGGCTCCCTGCGTTCTGGGGTGAGAGTGGCGGCGCATTCAAGTCAATGGTACCGCAGCTACAACCCCTGCCCGCAGTGCAATTGACCACAACAGAATGCGTGGCACAACAATGTTGTGTTCTGGTCCGATGTGATCACAAAAAAAATAGTACAAGCACTACCGCATCACCACGCCCCCTCCCACACCAGAACGCAGGGAGCCTTACAGCACCGAGCTGGAACGCACTCGAAGTGGTGTGAACAAGCCCTCAGACTGGAAAGGATCCTGTGAAGTAAATGATAAGATGAAAAGGTGATATCATGATTGCTGATGGGGTGCTATGTAATAATACAAGATGCTGGCAGGCCACAGTGTCCTCCCATAACACACAATAACTCCCTAGACCCGAAGTAACTAGTAATACACACTGATCATTTTAGCTGCTCTTTATAAACAGCCCACTGCCCCTGTTATGTGGGGTGGGTATAGCTGCATGGAGGCAGGGCTGTGTACAGATCACAGTACCTTGGTGGTCCCAATGTACTCCATGTATGCTGTGCTGGATGAGGTGTACCATGGGCCGGATGCAGCCTGCTCAGCCTCTCCTCTGCTTCCTGCTGCTGTATCTGGGAGACACTTCCTGCTTCTATCAGCCAGGAGGATTACAGCACTGTGCACGAGCTTCGCACGATCTCGGCGCCACCTTCAGGTCATGTGGGGAACTGCAGCATACATTCAGCTGCACTAGAACTGCTGGAGGGAGCTCAGGACATTTAGCCGCCTTGCGATCGCGGTCTACCAGCGTTATGCTGGCTACACACGTATCGATTTTAGCATGCAATCGATGAAACCGATCGAATCGCATTAAAATCGAATGTCCTGTGGTCGCGTCCGATCGATTTGTGATCAATTTTATAATCGTTCGAACGTCGTCTAATAAAATGAACTAGGATCACACTAATCCAGCACGTTATTATTCTGAGATGCCCCACTCAAGCGGCGGCCATATTGAGTGGGGCACGTGAGATTAATAACGTGCTGGATTAGTGTGATCCTAGTTCATTTTATTACTTCATTGCTGTGCTGTATGTGTATAGGCCAATGTAGTTGGATCTGTATGTGCGTTATAATTAATCAAAATTAATCGATTAAAAATTTTTTAGATTAATCGAACACGAAAATGTTAATCATTACCAGCCCTAATTTTTAGTTTAACCAAAACATCATATCCGGTGTATATTAATAAAGTCACAAAGTGTGGATAGGTAACATCACTTTTTTGCAGTTGAGATATCAAACACAAATTTTGTCCCATATAAATTGAAACCACCATGTCAAAGTATCCTTAAACCAGTCCATAACACCTATATAGACAAATATTGTAAGCTGTTTTAAATCACATAACAAAGTAGTTATGTATTCCAAAATATCCTCTCTTTAGGACAGATTCACACCACACAGTCAGTGTTCCAGAGCATTTAGTCTTGGAAATGAGCTGTAACGCAACCAAGTCAGCTCATATTGTTTGTGGTCGATAGGTGGCGTGGTGGTGCATTGAAGGAAATTGTGCTGCCAACCCACCATTTCCCTCCACACACGCATTGCGATTGCTGGCACGCGAACGCGTGGCACATTTTGGCCTGTGCTCCGGTCCAGTACAATCTGTAGAATTGCTGCATGCACTACCTTTGATGATTGCACTGGAGGGGAACGCAGGCAACAATGTGCCACGCATTCAGATGCCGGCAATCGCCATTGTCTTCAATGCAACGCCACACCCCCTCCCGCCCAAAAACAATATGAGCCGACTGGGTTGCGGTCACATCTTTTCTAACTGTAAACTGTATATGAACAGCGTCATGCAGCTTCTGCATCATGTATGCCAGGCCAAGCCAATCGTTCATGTTGATACCCATGAAACAGCAGGGTTGCTAGCACCTGCACAATATGCAGCAGACCAAGCATACATGTTCGGAAGCTCCTGCTCTGGAGGTATAGATACTGCAGATTCTAATTTTAGAAAGAAAAAATCTAGGAAAACACAGATGTGAAGAAAATCTTCAATGAAGCTCACTTGCAATGCAGCTTTGTTGTCCTAGACCTTTCAATGCTCCTGCCTTCTCAAAACTTTTACCGCTGTTGTTGATAACCTTTTCAAATGTTTAAATATTAAACGAAATTTCAGAACTGAAATATAACAATCTACAAACTTTAACTTAAACTATAAAACTTATCGCACTACATTGCTTGTGCCTTTACTTCCTGCAATGTAGTTTAAAGACGTAATAAGGCACGTTTTATACTTATAATTTATTTTTCACATTCGCAGAATTTCGAAACAAATTGAATATCATTAGCAAACTATACACAGAATTGCCCACCATGTGGCTTGGGGGAAGCGTGCAACCGATCCTCATCGCTAGCATCAGAAATTAGAATTGAATGCTCTGGATCTGCAAAAAGTAATAAATACACATTGTGTGAGAGAGAGAGAGAGAGAGGTAGAGAGAGAGAGAGGTAGAGAGAGAGAGAGAGAGGTAGAGAGAGGTAGAGAGGTGGAGAGAGAGAGGTAGAGAGAGAGAGAGAGAGAGAGAGGGAGAGAAAGGGGGAGAGGGAGAGAGAGGTAGAGAGAGAGAGAGAGGTAGAGAGAGGGGGGAGAGAGAGAGAGGGAGATAGAGATTTAAAAATCTTTTTTTTAATATACCTTGCTCGGTGCATTGGTTTTCTTATTTTCTTCCAATTGTTCACCAGGATTGATCATCTTTTGAATTTTCAGTTCTAAATATCATAATAAAGACATATTCATATTCTCATTTGCAAAATACACTAATAATGCATGTATGGTACGTATCTAATCTAAAATATCAAAACATACAATACATGTACAAGTATGATTAGGTATTCAAAAAGCATGTCCATATAAGAAAACATGTGAGCAAAAGTGCTTGACTTACCATGATAACTTTTTTCTTGTTTATCCTGATGAGGTCCTCTAATGTCAGCTTGTTGTTGATTCTTAATTTGACCTTGTATTTTACCTGTGGGATGAAATCATCACATTAAACATAAATATTTTAAAATGTATTATTAATTGAATTAAAATGAAATGATTAACCAAATACATATAAATATAAATAACATTACAGACATGAACAAAAGTTCTTTGTGTATTTCTCAAATACCCCTCCAGAGCAAAAAAAAATAATATTTGTAGAACATGTTGCACATGAGAACATAAATAATTAT